ACCATAAGCACACTTTAACCAATCCTAAATTAAAACACCAAACAGCTCTTTTAAAAATATTTTGGGAATTAAAGGAGAAAGGTTTGACTGGAATATTATAGGTTTCGCTCATACTCCTAGTAGTCTTAGAGATAGCTGTAACTTGTGTTTAGAAAAAAAAATTAAAATAATAAAATACAATAATCAAAGCAAACTATTAAATCAAAGGAATGAATTAATTTTAAAATGTCGATATAAAAACAAATTTAAACTTCTATAATATAGATTTTACTTTATTGCCGTATAATTCTATAATTCCTCAAATGTCGAATTTATATCTATTTCAAATTTCTATATTTCCATTTTTCACCACATTAATTATATCTTATAATTGCCTCCTATTCTATGAACTCTATTTCCTTTTATCTCTTACACCTCATTATCTATATATTTTAAGGGTTATTTAGGTATTCTTGTATGGTTTGGTTTTTCTTAATATAATTGATTTAACTTATCTTTAAAGTTAAAAATGTATAACTTATTTTATTTTATTATATTTTTATTTTTAAATATGTTTCCATTCTTAATATATTTTTTTTAAATATATTCTTACTTTTTAAAATATATTCTTTATTTATTTTTATTAGAAAATATCTAAATATGACATATTTTTTAATCTTTTAAATATATCTTATCTTTGGAAGTGCATTTTAGTAGGAACGTATATATATATATATATATATATATATATATATATATATATATATATATATATATATATATATATTCTTTATAAAGCTCCCTCTGCGGCTCTCTTTTGGTTTCAAATTAACACATCATTCTTCTTATAACCGAATTTAATGTCATAACGTCATTTCAATATCCGGGTTTAATTTTATAAAACCACTTTCCTTTAAAACTAATACCTTCCACCCTCCCCTGCCCACAGGTTCGTGATCTTCCTTTGACTGAAACATTAAAATGGATAAATTCTGTATCAATTTTACGAATTGACATTGCATTTAAATTTACCCCAAGAAAGGCAATAAAGCCACTAAGACACAAGGATGTTACTGAAGGTTAGAGAATAGGAGAAAGCTATTAGTACGGAGAGAGGACAATAAAAGAACAAGAATTAAGAAGACAGAAGATAACGATTAACATTCCATTTAAATTTCACCCCAAGCAAGGCAATAAAGCCTCTAAGACGCAAGAAGACGCAAGTGGGTTACTGAGTGTTAAAGAATAGGAGAAAAGCTAATATTACGGAGAGAGGACAATAAAAGAACAAGAATGAAGAAGACAGAAGATAACGATTGATATTTCATTTCAATTTCCCTCCAAGTAAGGCAATAAAGCCACTAGGACACAAGGATCTGGATCTTGTAATGACAGAGAATATCACGAAGAGTCAGGTACTTTCGGAAATGGTATTTTTAACCATTTCCCACCATATTTAGCGATGAATCATATATACGAGGCCCATCTGAGCTTTCATATTTTTCTCAATAGATATGAACAGAAAGAAAACGATAGATAGTTAAATAGATAGACTGAGATAGATTTTAATTTGATTGAAGACTTTATATTAGAAAATAACCAGTTTTACATAAAGTATTGTATAATTAGTTTCATATATATATATATATATATATATATATATATATATATATAAGGGTGTTTGTATGTGTACGTATATATATATATATATATATATATATATATGTAATTTCTATATATATTATATATGCGCGGTACTTACTGGAAAGTGCTCAATTAACAGTGATATTGCCAACATATAAAGTTGTATGGATATGAGTTTGTAACCCTGGATTTCACGCTTTTGCGATCATCAGACAAACTAAATAGATTCAATTTTTAAAAAGAAATCAATTTGTCTGATGATCGCAAAATTGTGAAACCCAGGGTTACAAACTCATATTCATACAACTGAATATATATATATATATATATATATATATATATATATATATATATATATGTCTCTGTGTGTGTGTGTGTGTGTGTCTATGTATGTATGTATATGTATCAAATATGTGGTACAGTTCAATTTATCAAGTAGATTAGTAAAGTTAATTTTAAACGTTAAAGTTTTGTATCATTAACTTTACTAATCTACTTTATATATGTGTGTGTGTGTATGTGTGCGTGTATGTATACTATCGAATACTTGAGGTACCTTGCTCATAAATATCAAATGAACTAAATTACACTTTTTACTGCTTAACAAATTTTATGATTTTATTCTTCAATAAAGCTAGTTTTAAAACTTTTTAGATAGTTACAAAGAGAATGAGATAGATAGATAGATAGATAGATAGATAGATAGATAGATAGATAGATAGATAGACTGCGTTTCATATTATTAATGACGACACTTTTCCATCCTATTCAAAAAATTGTGAGGTTCTTGAAAAAGAAAAAGAAGTTACGATCATTTACCTAATTTCGTTAAAGGTGATTATGTCAAATTTTTAACGAGATGTTTGAAATATACCTGTAAAAAAAAGAAAATAACACTTTGATTTATTTACCAGTTTTTATGGATATGTAGAGTAACTAAGAGGAAATTTAAGCGAAATAAAAAAAGTAGACATATTTCACAAAGGATAGTGGATTTGGTTAATATGAGATATGTGATCCTTTTTATAAATTAACTTGGAAATGCGTTGGGTCAGCAATTTCTAGATTTCCTCTGGCGTAATTTCACGTGATAAGTTGATTATTCCCTGCCATAAGTCATCCTTGCTTCTAAATTGACAGCCATTCTCATAAACACGTCGCTTTAGAAGGCTATACAAGTTTTCAATTGTGTTTAAGTCTGGAAAACTGACCGCCCGGTTCATCTTTCGACGTCCACAGAAGCCTAATTTCTGCAGCTACTCCGTCAGTTTTATGCGCTGAATGCGAAGGAGCATTATCTTGTATAAGGACGATGGATCTCATGAAGGTGATTGTTTTCTTTTTTTAACCAAGATTCCAGAGGCTCTTTGAGGAAGGCTATATAAGTATCTGCGGTTATTTTCGTACCGTCAGACACTCTCCACAGGCCAACCACGATACCTCCAATAATACTAGACCAAATCTTAATCCCTCTTCCTCCTTGTTAGCGTGTCAAGCATTGATGATGATCTCGTTCATTTACGATCCAACCTTTGTTCCAATGATCAGGGTTATTAAATGATGCACGACTTTCCTCTGTGAACAGAACTTTCGAGAAATCGACCTATATGTTCTTTGCCAATTTCAAACGCATTTGTATGTGTAGTTTTGTCAATCGAGGCTTTGTCACTGGTCTAACTAATGGTCCGACCTTTTTCAGAGGGCGATAGCGAGTACTTCTGGACACCGTTGCTTCTCCAATGCTCCTAAAAAGTGATCCACTGGTAAGGCCTGTGTTACGGCTTCACGTTTCATTCTTGACAAAGAATGTCGGGAAACAAGCCTTGAGTGACCCTTATCGGCCCTCTTCTTAGGAGCTGCAACAAATCTTTTCCCAGTTTGGTGAAATCTTCCAATTATATAGGATATCCCTAATGAATATTTGTCTTTGGAAAGTTCAGATGTAATAATATCTTTCTAAGAATAGGTCAAGTAACATTTGCGACTCATAATTGTACGATTATAATGATACGCGTTTATAGTCTGGAACACTTCTATATATTGTTAATATTGCAAATGGCCACCGTTTGTTTCTTGTTCCGCAGAACAATACAGTTTTATACAGCCTGCGCACATACCCATTCCCACTATAGTGTGAAAATTTCGCTAAATTCCGACTGGTAGTTTTTAGACAAAATGGAAAAAATGTCACATCGTTAATAATTTGAAACACATTGTAGATAGATAGATAGATAGATAGATAGATAGATAGTGTGAAAATTACGCTAAATTCCGACCGGTAGTTTTTGGACAAAATGAAAAAATGTCGCATTGTTAATAATTTGAAACACCGTGTAGATAGATAGATAGATAGATAGATAGATAGATAAAGATAGATAAATAGATAGATAGATAGATAGATAGATAGATAGATAGATAGATAGATACAGCTGGAAAGTAAACATAGATAGATAGATAGATAGATAGATAGATAGATAGATAGATAGATGTATTCATACATACATACATACATACATACATACAAACAGATACATACATGAATAGATTTAGTGAGATAGATAGATAGATAGATAGAGAGAGAGAGAGAGAGAGAGAGAGAGAGTTAGAAAGAGAGACAGCTGGAAAGTAAACATAGATAGATAGATAGATAGATAGATACATACATACATACATACAAACAGATACATACATGAATAGATTTAGTGAGATAGATAGATAGATAGATAGATAGATAGATAGATAGATAGATAGATAGATAGATAGATAAAGAGAGAGATAGATAGATAGATAGATAGATAGATAGATAGATAGATAGATAGATAGATTTTATTAACTGAGTGAAAGAGATAAATGAATAGATCGATAAATTTCAATAGGTAAGTATGCAAAGCGAGAGAGAGAGAGAGATTGGGGTTTAAATTTCTGGTTTAAATAGTTATGAATAGACTGTTGTCGATAGATAAATATGAACAGACATTTATCGCGTTTTCTCCAGTTTATCAACCATAAACTTATAGATAGATAGATAGATAGATAGATAGATAGATAGATTTTCGCCATTTTGTTTACTATAGTACTGAATTTTGCGCGCAAACTGTGGCAGTTTTCCCTCTGCGAACATTAATGAAATAGGAAGGCATCTGGGAATGTATGTCACTCAAAAACCCAATAGTAGTCGACCACCATGAAGTTATCAAGACAAATTACCAAGTCTCATTCCAACAAATCCTAATTAGACGAGCCTTGACGGAATTAATAAAATCCCATAAAAACGAAGACGACAAAGAAATTAGATTCTTTCAAATTGATTCCACAAAGTAAGTCAACTTAATTGTCTCCCCTTTCTTGTCATTCGCCTTCTTCATTGTAATTTTTGCATGTCTTTTTCTCCAGCTATTTTCTTTCTCTCCCTCTCTCCCTCTCCCTCTTTACCTATCTCTTCCTCTCCCTTCCCTCTCCCTCTCCCGTTCTCTCTCCCCCACTCTTTCCCTTTCTCTCCCTCTCTCTCCTGCTCTCTTTCTTTCTTTCTCTTTCTCTTTCTTTTAATCAACTCTCTTCCTGCCGTCTTTTCTCCATGATTTCCTTCCTCATTGATTCGTCGCGATATAATTCCGACTGAATAGTGAATTCGATCCTCACCGGGTGCAGCGTACTGTCGGCGTCGTGCCACATCTAAGCTACGCTTAGAGAATCATTTTGGACACTTCGACGTCTTGTAATGGTTCGTGAGCTTGTCTCGCTAGATCAATTCCGACTGAATAGTGAATTCGATCCTCACTGGGTGCCCCATACTTTCGGCGTTGTGCCACGTCTATGCTACGCTTGGAAAATCACCAGGGTACCTGGACGTGATGCACTGGTTAGCAAGTTTGTCTCGCTAAAACAATTACAACTGAGTAGTGGGTTCGATCTTCACTAGCCGCCCCATACTTTCGGCCTTGTGCTATATCTAAACTATGGTTATAGAATTACCATTAGCACACGATCGTTTTTTGTTTTTTTTTTTTACAATGATGAAAGTGGGTACCTCTTTAGTTCTGAAGTGCGTATCAAATAATTGTAACTTCATTTACCTAATCCCTTCAAATTCGAAGGACTGTGGAAAAAAGCGGAAACGAATTCACTAGGCTATGTGAAATTTTCGTTGGGCCAATGAAAACCTGGCCATCACAGAGATTGACCGACGTGGTTAGAAGAAGTTGGAAATAAATTCACGCGCCTATGTGGAATTATTTTGGACTAATGAAAATATTGCCTTCACAGCCGATAGAAACAAACTAGCGAACCAATATACCTGGGGAATTCAGAGAAGCATAGATCCATCCAGCTCTTATCTCAAATAACAACTTAAAAGAGACTGGTTGACCAACACAAGGAATGTTAAAAGATTTATGTTAAAAAGATAAAAATTAAAAAAAAAAACAAATGAAAACTACAGACAAAAGTTCATTTTCTCCATCAAGACATTCATTTCTGTAGTTCACTGCTACCAGCAAGCAAAAATATATCTTCTCCTGGTGATGGCCATTTTGGCCGAAACTAGTCGAATGATCTAAATGAAATAATAATAAAAAAAACGAAAGAATATTAATCTACAACCAAGTGTGTCTGAAGATTTTAATTTTTTAATATTTTTTATTGTTCACTATATATATATATATATATATATATATATATAATGAGAAAAATTAAATTAATAAGAGAAGTGTGTCTGAAGTCATGTGAAAGGTTTCGTTTATGTTCAGCACGCCCAGCGTAGAGGTTTTCGCCAATTTCTTTTTTGGATATTTCACATTTTAGCTTATTGCCCTTCATAACTCTCCAATGTGTCGCGTCAGAAAGTTTTTTTCTCGTTTGAGTCCATCCTTCAAATCTACCATTCGTCCTTGCATTGTATACTGTTGCCATATATGGTTTGGTGCCCCTCCCGCCCATTACGAGGTTCTCGACAAAATCCAAAGACCGACATGCAATGTGATATATCCTGACCTAACATCTGATCTACAGTCACTATGTCACAGACGTGCTGTGGCTTCCTTCTGTCTTTTCTACAAATATTTTAATGGCAACTACTCTGGCAAGCTATTTTCAGTAGTGCCCCAACTGCATGAATTTAAACGTTCTACTAGGTTGGCATCTCGGTCCCACCCTTTTACTGTCGAAACAGTTAAATGTAACCACTTCTTCTACTCCAACAACTTCTTCTCTCGCACTTCCCGGCAGTGGAACTCCCTTCCTCTTACTTGCTTCTTTGGTAGCTATAATCTTCAAATATTCAAATGTAATATTAATCGACATCTTGTGATTCCCCGTCCTTCTCTTTATCCTTTCCGCAATCAACCCTTTTTACTCTTGCTCTCACTCTCTGTAACCCATTGCGTGTCATTACCACTCTCGCCTTGCTAGGAGTGAAATGTTTTAAAAAAAATTCCCAAGTGCACATGGACCAATGGATAAAAGCGTTGGTTGAGTGATCCAAAAAATGACATGACCCAAGGTGTTGTGAGTTCAATACTTAGTTTAAAAAATCTAACACTAAAACGAAATAAATAGTTCGGTTCGGAATTCTAACGTTAAGCACCTGAAGAAGGCCGGAGCCTACAACGGCCGAAATGACGTGAATATGACAACAAAGATTAAAACAACAGCCCGAACGATGTAAATAGTGTAAATAAAAGCACAAATCGGATTAAAAGACACAATAATATTGCAGCATATTGACGATACTTATCTTCGCACAACATTATGAAGGCTTAAAATCACATCGGTCGAAAATCATCGAAAGAATAATATTCCACTAACTTATCGTATAATGCTACTGTTTGTCTATCAATATTCACGCAACACTATGAAGGCCAAGAAGCCCATCACTCGATATCATCGAAAGCACAAGGAGGATTGTATTATATTGGTCACACTACTACATCCCGATGTAGACGACTCACGTTACACCTATCCGACCATTGCTCAATTTGGACTCATTTAAATACACACGAAAACTTGTCAAACTCCATCCGAAACATACTAGAGAAAATACAGGTATAACATCCCCGTCCAACATGTAAAAAAAAGATTAAAAATAATAGAAGCACTAACAGGAAAAAAAAAGGAAAAGCCAACACTCAATAACATTAACTACGAACACGGTCACAATGTGCTGACTGTGTTTGGAAAATAAAACATTACGATAACTTAAGATACATACTTAGAAAAAATACACATTCACTCAAAATTAAAATGAAAAATCATCCTTGATAATGGCTAAAAGAATAGCCGAAAGCGCTTGGATATGCAGAAATTTTGGACAATTTTCACACAGTTTGCGTCCAGAAAAGAAAATACTTGTACGAACAAAAGAAAATTTAAATAAAATTCTAATCACAGTAGCTTGTCAGTCGTCTTTAACGAAACATTTATAAAAGGGAGATGGATGCCTGAATAATATATATATATATATATATATATATATATATATATATATATATATATATATATATATATATATATATATGAAGAAATATAGTCTTAAGGTGTGCTATATTTATGGGATAAAGTGCTCAATATCAGAGATAGAGTGTGTCAATATAAACATAGAAGTCAAACTGTTGATTCTCTATTTATATATATATATATATATATATATATATATATATATATATATATATATATATATATATATACGCACATACATATATATATGTGTGTGTGTGTGTGTGATTAAGGTATGTTTAGGTAGGAAACTTACTTTTAAAAATCTTTCAATATTGTCCATTGTTCCAAGAGATTTCGGCCCCTCTTTAGCCATTATCAAGGAGACTTTGTTTTTTTGTGTTTTTACTTTCTTTTCATTGATTGTGTGAGATGTATTATTTGAGTGTTTTCTGAATTCTAGTAGGAGTGTTAATTGCGAGCCGTCATGTTTTGAACATGGCTGGAATTCGAGTGGGTGATTTTGTATTGTCAAAAGAATTTCATTATACCGCTCCCATTGTTGAACAAGGTGAGGTTGATGATGAAGGAAAGATGTTTGACGTACAGGATCTCTCTTATAATGTATTTTTCAGGAAATTTGATTTACATTGAGCTCTAGTGTTTTCGACGAGAATTTTTCTTAAGGATTCTTGTAGATTGTGGATTGATAGATCTTTTTATGGCTCCCGCTTAGATAAGTAACATGTCAGTCGTCTTCTTAAGGAGGTGGCAGTGTGTTCGAACACAATTTTTTCTTACACGCTAAAGTATTTGCATGTATTTGTATGCGATTGTTCGCTCGTATATCTACCTATATTTAACTATTGGTTTTTATTTATATATATATATATATATATATATATATATATATATATATATATATATATATATATATATAATTTGTTCTAAAATTGTTGGAGGATGAACTTAGGTCTATTACTACTACTCTCCGTAACAATGACTATCCATTGGGTATTGTTCAAGCAATAATTAAAATTAAAATTGCTGAATTCAATAAATTTAAACCTGCTATAGTAAAAAGATGTCCTGTGTACCTGTAACTTCCTTGGTTGTGTAATATCAGTGGTAGATATGCTAAGCAGGTTTCTGTATCAGTTCGACATTGTTACTTTGCTGCTAACACTCGTGTGGTTTTTCCCTGCCAAGCCTGTCCTTCCGTCTATGCTTAAGGACGTTCTCCCTCCACATCATAATAGTTCTTCAATTTATTCCTTTAAATGTGGCTCACACTACATAGGGAGAACGACTCAAAGGCTGTATGTCAAAATAAAGCAACACGCAGGAAACCTAATAAACAGCCATTATAATGCTACTAGTTTCAGTGTGGACTCATTTACCTTTCTTAGCAAGTCCCACTCGAATTACAAACTTGAAAGTGTTGGGGGCTATTTATATTTTACCGCTGAAGCCATCTCTGTACAAACAAAGGACTTCTTTCTGGGCCTCCAACTATTTTCCATCTAAGCAATATCTTTTTTTTCTTTCAATACATATTGTCCATCTCTTTTTAGTGATAATTCTATTTATTAACCTCGATTTAGCTCTGTTGAGCGAGGATTGAAACTGGTTAGCTAGCCTGTTTTTCAGTTTTAATTTTTATCGATTATCATCAGGTGTGGTAATAGAAATAATTTTTTGTCTTTTTATGGCAGTCATAAAGTTTTGTACCACAAAACATATCCTTATAAATATATATACTAGCAGTAGAGCCCGGTGTTGCCCGGGGATGTAACAGTAAGAGATAGATCAAGTATCGACCATCATAAAGACTGAAAAATAAAATTGACAAAGATTATTGTTTAAGGTTGACGGACACGCATGTCTTAATTAGTTTTTTGTTTTTTTGTTTTTATTTTGTTTTACGAATTGGTCAAACCCAAACTCAAACAAAAACATTGTTTTCAATCCTTATGAGTCTATCGATTGAATAGAATTTTATTATAAACAATTGTCTTGTAAATGGAATTTTTAAAGCCTTCTAAATGTAAAAATAAACGAAAAAGTATGCCAGACAATAAGAAACACTACCTGCCAAAAAAAATTGAAGTTCTGTTGAAATCGGTTGAAAAATGTAGGAAATCCGATCCCATATATAAACGAACACACACACACACACACACCCCACACACACACAAACAACCTGGGTTTTATAATAAGTATAACTCGATATGAGTTGTCCCCCTTTCATTCTCGCGTCAGCGATGCCTCTTAATCGTGTTTTCAAATTGATTTCGTGCAAAAACAATTGTGTTTTTCCAATTTTTGGCGTTGTCAGAACCACCGCAAAGTAGTTTTACGTAGTCCTGTGAGGTTTTGTTGAAATCGGTTGAAAAATGTAGGAAATCCGATCCAATATATAAACGAACAGACACGCACACACACAACCTGGGTTTTATATATATATATATATATATATATATATATATATATATATATATATATATATACCGTGTGTAACAGCAATATTGTCCAAATCCTATTATAGCATAGTAATGGTACCGACATTAATACTCTGGATTCCATCTTCAAAGTCCACCCAAGAACCATCGAGAACGGTGAATAGGTTTAAAAAGAGGGAACAGTAGAGAGGAAAATTGGATCAGGAGGTCGCAAGAGGAAGAGGAGTCATCATTTCAAGTGATCAATTAGAAAAGATTCAACTCAATTCACAAAACGTCTGCCACGTGAAAGCGGGGTTTCAGCTACTACGATTCAAAAAGAAGTGTAAAAGACCTCAATATGAAATCATCAGTTGATGCCCTTTGTTACACCAAGACAGAAAGTTAGAAGGTTAGAGAGGCCTAAGATTTGGAAAATGAACCTGGATTAATATATATCTGCGAGGATCAGATAAAGGGTTTGTCTGATGATCGCAAAAGCGTGAAACTCAGGGTTACAAACTCATATCCATACAACGGAATATGTTAGCTCTATCACTGATATTGAGCGCTTTCCAATAAGTACCGCGTATATATAATATATATAGAAATCATATATATATATATATATATATATATATATATATATATATATATATATAGCTTACACTATTTATATTCAAATTACACATTATTACAACGTTTCGGCTGTTTAGCATCACCTCCATCCTTCATGAGGTGCATATCGATCTGGGTAACCTACAGGGAATTCGAAAATGATCCCTTTATTTAATCTCGGGGACAGGCTCTTCACATTATACTGTTCTTATTTTTATGTAGTTCTGCTCAATTATTGCTCGCTCTGTTTCCAATGCTTGGCTATGTCACCAAATCCAATACTTTAATCCTTGGATTAATTTTTTATCGTCTAGCTGGCAACGGTATGATAAATATGACATTCCAAAAGAAGTTAAGCAACGTCAAGACTGGCCATTACCTATATGGGTGATCGTTTGGGAGTGAGAGGTGAAGTTTATTTTGTTTTACGGCATATCAACACTTCAATGGGTTATTTAATGACGACAAGATTTTTAGGATAGGTTCGTATGAATAGAATATGTATTCTTTGTAAGAAATCAGTTTGTAGGTGATTTGGTTTGGTTTATTTTGCTTTACGGTATATCAACACCTCAATGGGTTATTTAATGCCGACCAGATTTTTAGGATAATTTTATGAATAGCATATTTTTGGTTTATTTTGTTTAATGGCATATCATTCTCAATGGGTTATTTAATGCCGACAAGATTTTTATTGCTGATATTTTTTTGTAAATATATACCTGGTAATTTTTTTCAAAAAATATATTTTGCTGGTAATATTTTTTCTTCAAAAATTTATTGCTTGTAATAGTTTTTACAAAGTATTTCTGGTATTAAAACCTATTTTTACCCCGGTTAGGGAGTTAACTATTTCCCCATAGATAGGACCCTAACAGGTGCTACCACCCCGGGTCAGGGTGGACCTGGGAACATCAGCAATTAAGATGTGGTTCCACGCTCATCAAAACGTCCAGATCAGAGGCCTTGCTGTTGGACGTAATTTATGGTCTTACCCAGGACGCGAATGTATTTTATCGTCATACCCAGGACGCGGATATAGTTTATCGTCTCACCCAGGACGCGAACGTAGTTTATCGTCATACCCAGGACACGGATGTAGTTTATCGTCTTCCCAGGACTCGGATGTAGTTTATCGTCATACCCAGGATGCGGATGTAGTTTATCGTCTTACCCAGGACGCGGATGCAGTTTATTGTCTTACCCAGGACGCGGATGTAGTTTATAGTCATACTCAGGACGCGGATGTATTTTATCGTCATACCCAGGACGCGGATGTATTTTATCGTCATACCCTGGACGGGCATGTAGTTTATTGTCTTACCCAGGACGCGGATGTAGTTTATCGTCATACCCAGGACGCGGATGTTGTCTATCGTCTTCACAGGATGCGGATGTATTTTATCGTCATACCCAGGACGCGGATGTAGTTTATCGTCTTACCCAGGACGCGGGAGTAGTTTATCGTCATACCCAGGACGCGGATGTAGTTTATCGTCTTACCCAACACGCGGATGCATTTTATCGTCATACCCAGGATGCAGATTTAGTTTATCGTCTTCCCAGGACTCGGATGTAGTTTATCGTCATACCCAGGACACGGATGTAGTTTATCGTCTTACCCAGCACGCGGATATAATTTATCGTCATACCCAGGACGCGGATGTAGTTTGTCGTCATACCCAAGACGAGCGAAGTGAAGTAAGCGTGGATATGAGTGTGGCGTAATGGATAATGGCAAAGAATTGTTACTTAGAGAGTAGATTTCCATTTCCTATTTGGTTTGTTATATTCTCTTACGCGCAAATACCCTTGGAAAAGATAGGAATCCACATATTATACCCCAAGCTATGGGTTAATTAGCAAGACTTGGATCAGAAAAGCATTCATATCTAAAAAAAAAAAAATGTTTAAGGTTTTCCTCTGTTCCTTTCTTTTTTTTTTTTACTTTTTTCTTTTCTTTATTTCTAATCTTTATTCCATTTTAATCGTTTTTCTTCCTTTTTCTCCCTTTTATTTTCTTCCTTTCCTTTTTTTTTTAACTTTTGTTTCTTTTTCTTTCTTTATTTCTAATCTTTTAATTTTTTTTTCTTTTATTTTTTCCTTTTATTTTCTTCCTTTTTTCTTTTTTTTTTACTTTCTTTCTTTTTTTTCTTTATTCCTAATCTTTATCGTTTTACATTTTTTCGTTTTTTTTTTTCCTTTTCTTTTTGTTTCCTTTTATTTTTATCGTTTTTCCTTTTTTCCTTTTCTTTCTTTTTTTTTTTACTTTCTTTTTTTCTTTCTTTGTTTCTCATCTTTATTCCATTTTTTATCGTTTTTCTTTCCTTTTCTCCCTTTTTATTTTCTTCCTTCCTTTTCTTTCTTTTTTTACTTTCTTTCTTTTCTTTCTTTATTTCTAATCTTTATTCCATTTTTATCGTTTTTCTTTCCTTTTTCTCCCTTTTATTTTCTTCCCTTCCTTTTCTTTCTTTTTTTACTTTCTTTCTTTTCTTTCTTTATTTCTAATCTTTATTCCATTTTTATCGTTTTTCTTTCCTTTTTCTCCCTTTTATTTTCTTCCCTTCCTTTTCTTTCTTTTTTTTTTTTCTTTTCTTTTCTTTCTTTATTTCTAATCTTTTATTCCATTTTTATCGTTTTTCTTTCCTTTTCTCCTTTTATTTTTTCCCTTCCTTTTCTTTTTTTTTTTTACTTTCTTTCTTTTCTTTCTTTATTTTCTAATCTTTATTCCATTTTTTATTTTTCTTTTCCTTTTTTCTTTTATTTTCTTCCCTTCCTTTTTTTCTTTTTTTTTTTTTTTTTTCTTCCCTTTTTTTTTTTCTTTTATTTTTTTTTCGTTTTTCTTTTTTTTTTCCTTTTATTTGTTTCTCTTCTTTTATTCCTTTTTTTTTTTTATTTTTTTTTCTTTCTTTTTTCATCTTTTATTCCATTTTTTATCGTTTTTTCTTTCCTTTTTCTTTTTTATTTTCTTTTTTCTTTTTCTTTTTTTTTTTTTTTTACTTTCTTTTCTTTCTTTTTTCTCTCCTATCTTTCGTCCTTTGTTTTCTTCCTTTCTGTCTTTCTTTGTTTGTCTTCTTATTTTTATTCCATTTTTCTTTTGCTCGTTTTCCTTTCGTCCTTTTTTCTTTTCCTTTCTTCTTTTTCTTTCGTTTTTCTTTTCTTTCTTTCTTTCTTTCTTTCTTATTTTCATTCTTTTCTTTTATTTTCCTTCTTTCTTTTCTTTTTCGTTTTTCTGTCTTTCTTTTCCTTCTTTATTTTATGTTTTTCTTTCTTTCTTTTGTGATGTTAGACGATCACTCGTTGTAATTTTCCGTTAGGTCAACGAATGCTCGTTATCACTTCCGAAATTCTCGTTGTAAACGAGACTTTGTATATACAGATGCTGGCAGTAGTAACACCTTCAAATAATACTCGTACTAGTAATACTTGTTCAAATAGTAATCACCGAATAGTAATTCGTATAATGATCAGTATAGAGAAATAGATAGTCGATAGTATAGAGAATAGACGTCACGCTAATTCCCATTTATACTTTTCCTATACGATCATATGATCTACTTATATAATAATGGAATCGTCCGTGTTTGCTCACTGTTGATCTGTGTTCAAACCCCAGTGTCGGCAGTGACGATTTATCTCTATACAACACTTTCTTCCTTATTTTCATTCCATTTTTTCGTTTGATCATTTATTTTTCTCTCACGTTTTGTTTTTCTTTTCTTTTTTCTTTTCTCTTTTGTTTCTGTTCTTTTCCTCTTTCTTTCCTTTTTTTATTTCCTTCTTTTTCTTTCTTTTTTCTTTTCCTTCTTTTTCCTTCTCCAGTTTTTCATTCATTTTTTTTAATTTTCTCTCTTTTCTCTTTGTTTCATTTCCTAATACTTTTCTTTTCTTTTTTCATCTCCTTTCATTCTTTACCGTTTTTCCTTTCATTTTTTTTTTTCTTTTGCTTTTACATTTTTTTCTTTCCCTTTCTTTATGTTTCTTTTCTTATCATCCTTCATTTTATTTGATTTTCTTCGCTTGGATTTCCGTCTTTTTCATTCTCCCTTTTCGTTTATTTTCCTTCCTTTACTTTCTTTACTTTTTTTTTTACCTTTTTCTCTCCTTTCCCTTTTTTTTTTTTACTTTTTCTTTCTTCTTCTTTTGTTTCTTTTTTATCTCCTTCTATTTCCCTATCCTATTTTTCCTTCTTTTACTTACGTTTCTACCGTCTTCCTCTCTTTCATTTTCCTTTCCTTCTTTTCTTTTCATTTCTTTCTTTTTTCTTTCCCCTCCTTCTTACAGTTACACACTTTCCATCACACATATATCGGGTTACTTTTCTTTTTTTTCCCTTTATATCTTTCTCTCTCTCTCTCTCTCTCGTTCTCTCTCTTTTTCTCTCTTCACTTAAACAATTCTCCCATTCTTTCTCTTTTTTCCTACACATTCCCTCTCCCCAGCACTTTGTCTCTTGCTGTTTTTTCCTACTTTATTTATCAATTTAAAAATATTCTTTTCTTTCCATTTTTGTATTATCCTGTTTTCAAAATCTTCGATATTATCAAGGCTACAATCACATATATGCGCCACAGTGAGGATCGATCATTATTCAGGACTATTAGTCTATATATCTACCTTACTAATTGTTGCTACGTAAAAAGACTGTATAGATAATTGCTAAGCATGTTGCCGTGTGGTAAGTGTAATCCCTAATGAGGATCGATATATCTCTAGTAATAGTGGTCAGCACATCAAGTTTGCTAACCATTGTCCACAAAAGTTACCCTGGTGATATCTACTAAGCTTAGCGTTGTCTGGCACAAAGGTTACATTTGTGAATTCCTTATAAGGATCGAAATTTCTAAATTAGAAGCGTACAGTACGTCGAGCTGACTGATTATTGCTACAGAAAAGGACATCTTATTGTTATTTAATATGATTAGTTTTATCTGACACTTGTATGAGTCCCCAATGAGGATCGATCTGTTTTCATTAGTAGAGGTCAGCGAATCTTCTAATTATACATCCGCAAAAAGACAACTTATTGATATTTAATAGGATTAAATTTATCAGCTATGTTTATGAATCTCCAATGAGGATCGATCATTTTAGTGGTCAGGGATTCTTCTTGCAGGAGATCCACAAAAAGAATAATATTAATTTTATCTTACACGTATGTTAATCCCCAATGAGGATCAATCTCTCTCCTGTATTAGTGTTCACCGATTCTTCGAGTAATTGTTCCTCAGCAGAAAAGAGTATTGATCCACAAAACTTATGTTATTTAATACGATTAATTTTATCTGCCACATTTGAAAATCCCCAATGAGGATCTATCTCTCTTCAGTAGTAGAGTTTAGCAATTCTTCTAGTAATTGTTTCATAAAAGTAAAATTAATAATATTAATTTTATCTGACTCATATATGAATCCCCAATGAGGATCGTTCTCTCTCCAGCAGAAGCTATCAGAGAGTCGTCTAATTATTGATCGGCAAAAACACAACTTATTAATATTTAATAAGATTAAATTTATCAGTCACATTTGTGAGTTCCCAATGAGGATCCATCTCTTCAGTAGTAATCGTCAATGATTCTTCTAGCAATTGCTCCACAAAAAGAGAATAATATTACACATATATGAATCCCCAATGAGGATCAATCACTTTCCAGTAATCTTCTAATCATTGATCCACAAAAACACAACTTTTTGATATTTAATAAGATTTGATTTATCTGCCGTATTTGTGAATCCCCAGTGAGGATCCATCTCTCTTCAGTAGTAGTGGTCAGCTATTCTTTTAGTAATTGCTCTACAAAAGGAGAATTATTTGCGAATTTTGACTCAGGGGCTCAGGCAGAAAGGTTAAAATTGTTCAGGAACACAGGGGTCAAAGGGTTAATTAATAAGATTTGTATCACTAAAATCATTATAATCACCTCTCCCCTCCTCAAACAATTCTTACAATCTAAAAATAACTATGACTCATTTGTACATCCCCAATGAGGATCGATCTCTCTTCAGTAGTAATGGTCAGCGAGACTTCTATCTATTGCTCTACAAAGCAAAAAAAAAGAAAAAAGAGAAAAAAAAAAAACAGGAAAAAGAGATCATATTGATATTTGGTAAAATTAGTTTAATCTGATACATGTCCCCAATGAGGATCGATACTGTTGTTCTACGATGTGAAGGCAAATATTTAAAAGTTTAATTCTCCGTTTTTCTACTTTTTTTCTTTCATTTCTTTTTTTCTTCTTTTTTTTTTCTTTTTCGCTTTACGTTAAACCGTTTTCGTCTTTATTCATTTTTTTTTTTCGTGCAGAGGGTTTGTCTTCTTTGTCCGCCTCGCATCGTTTTCGTCATTATATCATTTTCGCTTCTTTTACAAACTTCAAAATCTTCCTCATTAAGCTGACAGAAAATAATTAAGGATTTACAAACAGATATGTATAAATTCTTAATCACAAGTTTTTCGTTCAGCTTCCGTTTCTCGGTTTTTAGTTTAGTTTAATTTTTTTTTTTTTTTCTGAGTGAGAAATTTTCGCTAACGTCTTTATAATTGGCGCAATGCGATAAATACCCTGCAATGTTAAGACAATAACAAAGCAGATAATTGATGACAATCTGTAAAGGGAGATAATTAGTAGGGAGGATAATCCAATCATATCGAGGAAAAAAATGTTTAATCTTGCTGCTTCTTTTAAATTCAGCGTGAGAACAAGAAAACACAAAAGCCCCATGGTTAAGGAGTCGGACTGAAGGCTGCTATTCAGGAACTCTGCAGTTGATTCGTATTTCATTTCATTTTTTTAACCATTTCACCCCAAACAAGGCAATAAATCCACTAAAACACAAGGTGTTACAGAACGTGAACGAATATAAGAAAAAGAAAAAAAACATAAGGAGAGAGAACAATAAAAAAAGCAAGAATTAATAAAATAAGATAATAGTTGATATTGTATATAAACTTTTGAAGATGAAAGTTAACTGAATTGACTGATTACCTCATTCGTTTTTTTTTTTATTACGGCTTGCCAACCTTTTACAGGGTATTTAAAGCCAGAAGTTATTTTTAGATTGTAAGAATTGTTTGAGGGGGTAGAGGTGATTATAATGATTTTAGTAATACAAATCTTATTAATTAACCCTTTGACCCCTGCGTTCCTGGACAATTTTAACCTTTCTGCCTGAGCCCTGAGTCAAAATTCGCAAATAATTGGTATGTAATATTTCACGGTAGATATAAGAATAGTTACAAGTGTTTATCCACCGTTCAACCGGTGGCTGGGCATTAAGTCATTTTTCTCTACCATCGTTCAACCGGTGGCTGGGCATTAAGTCATTTTTCTCTACCATCGTTCAACCGGTGGCTGGGCATTAAGTCATTTTTCTCTACCATCGTTCAACCGGTGGCTGGGCATTAAGTCATTTTTCTCTACCATCGTTCAACCGGTGGCTGGGCATTAAGTCATTTTTCTCTACCACCGTTCAACCGGTGGCTGGGCATTAAGTCATTTTTCTCTACCATTGTTCAACCGGTGGCTGGGCATTAAGTCGTTTTTCTCTACCACCGGTAAAGCAGTAGTCAGAGCTCGAAGGGCTAAGCCATAGCTGAGGGAGAAAAGCTGAATTCATACCTTTCCCAAGGATATTTGCGCGTAAGTGAATATAACGAACCCAATGGGAATTAGAACTCGGCTCTCCGATTAACAATTTCGAGCCCTTATCCATTACACTACCCACACATCCAAGCTTAAAGCACTTGGTGTATTCCCAAGCGGCCACTCATCAAGGTACTGATCAGTTTCGATGTTGCTTAACTTTTTTGACTGTACGGAAACCAGTGTTTCAACATGAATTTCAGCTGTAAAATGCTGAGACCTTACCGCATATCTAGTAGAAAGCGTAATTTCATATAGTCTCGTTACCAAAGTGATATTTATTTTGCAAATACAAAAATGTCGCACACGGTCAAAAGTGAGGATAGTGGGAGGCTGGTCTTCAATCTCTCTTAAAATTAAACTTAGCTAGCCACGATTACTGACCCAAACATACAAACAATGTTCCTTACCCCAAAACAACCCATTCTTACTTATCATTCTTACTACAGTCACCATAATACCTTAGAGTCTCTATGAAGTCCTAACTAGTCCCATATGTAATATTTATTTTGCGTAATAAAAAAATGTGGCACAAGGCCAAAAGTGGGGAAAGAGGAAGGCTGGTCTTCAATCTATCTTATCTTAAACTTAACTACAAGTACTGACCCAAACATACGACATTATTCCTTACACCAAAACATTCTTACTTACCATTCTTATTACAGTTATCATAATACCTCAGGGTCTCTACGAAGCACTAACTAGCCCCCATATGTACGATATATATATATATGTAATATGTCGAGGTAAGAAAGTAATATTTATGTTCATTTAATACAAAAATATAGCACAAGGCCAGAAGAAGAGATAGGGGAAGGCTGAGCTTCAGTCTGGCTTACAATTAAACTTAACTAGCCACGATTACTGGTCCAAACATACCACAGTATTCCTTACGCCAAAACAACACATTCTTACTTACTACAGTCACCATAATACCTCAAGTCTCTATGAAGTTCTAACTAGTTCCCATATGTATATTTTTCTGGGGTTTAAGGATAAAAATGACACCATTTAAAAATGAAAGCCCAATGAATATTTAGCAAGACTGAAAGATCATCTGAACAATTACCATGAAAAGTATTAATAGAAAAGGCATAGGGAAGCTACGTTATGGTGGTTGGAAAGTGTTGTGGTAGGATCCACCTAATTTGCATAGTGGAGTACCGACCATATAAATATGGTTGGTACCGGGAAGAGAGGGAGGAATCAAGAGATTCAACCAGAGACTCTGCCCGACTGCGACTCAGTCAATACATTCTCCAGGAACGGTCTTACCAGGAATATACAAAAGACTATATGTAAATATTGTGTACACTTTCTTGCTTCAATACATTTTGTTCTAAGTACATTTTGTATTGCATTATTATTCCATGCATTAGTAAAGTTTCAACAGAAAGGTATTATTGGTTTACTTCGTCTAAATAGATAGAAGAGGCACCAGAAGATATGTGACAATCTATGGATAAACGGTAGGTTTATAAATGTATGAGATAGATTTTATTTTAAAAATAATAATTCTTGCGTGTTTAAAAGCGGAACGTAGATCAGGATGTCTGTAAGAGTATACAGAATTTTTCATTGGACCATGTGAACTCAATAAGACCTTCGATACAGTTCACAATGGAAAAAGAGAGTAACAACACACTCCCATTCCTGGATGTACTAACATCTCGAACAGAGCATGGGTTCAAGACATCCGTATACCGTAAACCAACATTCACCGGACAGTACCTCAATTTCGACTCCCACCATCCATACAGCGTAAAGAAAGAGATCGTCCGTTGCTTACAACACCGAGCAAAGTCATGTGGCGACCCAGAGACGTTAGATAAGGAATTGGTCAGTATAAGTAGTACCCTACAACGTAACAACTACCCTGGGTACATGGCAGCCGCCCAAAAAACTGGGATAGGCGGGTACAAGAGGAGAAGGACAACACACAGAAAACAGTCTGCCTGCCTTATGTGAAGGGGTTATCAGAGAAAATACAAAGGATCTGCGGTCTATATAACATCAGGACAACCTTCAAAAGTGTGACAACACTTCGCAGATATCTCTCTCGAGTGAGACCCCCCCCATAGAGGTGAACATGACTAAAGACTGTGTGTACGCTATCCCGTGCAGCTGCGGAAAGGAATATAAAGGAGAGACAGGCCGCCCCCCTTAAGGTAAGGCTTCAAGAACACCAGAAAGCTGTAACGCGAGGGGAAGTAGAAAAATCAGGCCTGGCTGACCACATATGGAGAAAGAAGGAGATCACCGCCCCTGTTGGATCATGTTGAGATCATAGACAGGGAACACCATTGGAAAATTCGTAAACTTATGAATCAGCACATATGCTAGGCCACAAAATCTCCTGAGCCGACCAAGCATAGAAATAAATATAATATGGGAACCAGTAATAAGGAGTGCCAGAGAAAAGCAATGATAACAAAGTTGCAATATGAGCTCTGGTAAAAACATGGAATGATAATAGAAAAATTGCAATATGAGCACTGGTAAAATATGGTTGCTGAAAACATTAGGTTTATAATACCCAGAAATTCATACCCAGATGTCCTCAAGGACATATGGTTAGATCCAGTGACAGACCCAAAGAGTGTGAGTTCAATACCCGGTTAAGGCTGTGGAGAATTTTCAGAGGGAAAATTAGCAGGAGATAACTGATAACTGACATCCATCAAACATGGCACGTGGAACTAGAACAGTCTACCACAGTGATCGAAATAAAGGGTTCAGTTCGAAATTCCAACCACCTGAAGAAGGTCGGAGCGTATAACGGCCGTGTGAACGGTGATGAGGACAATAGTCCGACTAATGTAAATACTGTACATAATACCTCATCTCAGAAATATAGACAGACAGAAAAAGTTCCACAAGCGAGAAGTGTGGGAAAATAAAATGTTAGCATAGAACTTATGGCTACATCTAGCCAGATCAACTGTAAATTGAAGAGATTTTTCGACACCAGTTTAGTACTGCACTAAAATTTATACAGACTAGATACGATAGCGAAGATCTCCTCCGAAAAATTACCATGAAAGTCTTTATAAAAATCATGGATGTTTTGCTGCATAATATATATGTGTGTGTGCGTGTGTATAATTCTTTCTTTGTATCTGTCTATCCCATTATCTTCTTATCCATATGTACTTTTATACCGTAATCAAAACTTATACTAATTCTACTAGTCTTTTTAAAAAAATCAATTTCACCCCATGCAAGGCAGTAAAGCCACTGAGACACAAGGGTTTACTTCGTATGGAAGAATTAGCAACGGAAACATTACTAATTAGCGACCTCAAAAAGAGTAATCAGGAAGACAGTAGATAGCAATTGACATTGCATTTAATTTGTTTTCAGATTGAAGTAGGCTGGAAAGCATGGAGCCGGATGAGAGTTCCACAAGCAAGAAGTGCGAGAGAATAAACTGTCAGCATAGAACTTACGGCTGCATCTAGCCAGTTCAACTGTCAATAAAGAGCTCATTCGAACAATTACCATGGAAGTATTTATGGAAAAACATCGAGAGGCTACCTTACGACTGTGGGAAATTGCCAGGAAATGAGCTGCCAGATCAGGACCAATAATATTGCTGATTCTTCTTTGGATTTTATCAAGGAGATCAAGGTAAATAACAGGGACACCGAGCCATATGTGTCAGCAATATTCTAAGCATGGATGAATATATAAATACTTGTCAGAAAACATATCCTAACATTTAACTTTGTAAGGTCTTTTTCTTTTCTTTCCTCTTTATTAATATTATCCGTTTACAGATATACTCCATCTGAAATTTTTACATATATACGCACACACAAACACACACACACACACACACACACACATATATATATATATATATATGTGTGTGTGTGTGTGTGTGTGTGTGTGTGTGTGTGTGTGTGTTATTATCAGGTTTTTTTAAATATTTATTATGAAAAAGAAACATAACAATTCAACAATAACATATTTAAATGATTATTCCGGAGCGTATGATTATCGGCACGCATTTTTATAACCTGAAAATAAAGTCTGTCAGTTAGTCCGTCTGTCTGTCTGTCTGTCTGTCTTTCTATCTATCTATCTATCTATCTATCTATCTATCTATCTATCTATCTATCTCTATCTCAATCTGTTCTTATTTATCTATCTATTATTTATTGGGTTGGTGCATAATTATCAGGCGTTTTTTAAACTATTTATTGTGAAAAAAAAAAAAATAATAATAATTCAACAATAAGACTTTTAAAGGATTATTCCGGAGCGTATGATTATCGACATGCATTTTTATAACCTGATAATAAAATAATATTTTTATTAAAAAAAGATTATCGCACAAAATTTCATAACTGAATCAACTAAGCTGTCAGATCCTCATAGGTCGAAACCGACGGCAGAGTCTATTATACATATATATATATATATATATATATATATATATATATATATATATATATATATATGTGTGTGTGTGTGTGTGTGTGTGTGTGTGTGTGTGTGTGTGTGTGTGTGTGAATAGTAAATATAAAATAAATAAATATATATGTATAATTATTTATATATTATATGCGCAGTACTTAGAAAGCGCTCAATATCAGAGATAGAGCTAACATATTTGGTTGGATAGATGTGAGTTTGTGACCCTGGGTTTCACGCTTTCGATCTGACGATCGCTAAAGCGTGAAACACAGGGTCACAAACTCACATCTATCCAACAAAAATATATATATATATATATATATATATATATATATATATATATATATAATTTAGTGAGCCAGACAAACCTATTTGTCTGGCTCACTAGGTATATCTAGGTCTGCTCTACGGTTGTATTGAGCGCTTTTGTTATTTGTTGTTTACTCGTATCGGGGTTTTTTCTTTGGGCTTCAAACCTGTATCTGTGCGATTTTTTTCGACAGACTTTCATGTTTGTAGCTCTTTCTTTTTTTAAAACCTTTTTTTCCCTCGAGATTGATTTGATTATTGGCAAATCAAAAATTCGAGGGTTTTTCGAAACGAGTATAGTTATCTATATATATATATATATATATGAGATAACAATATATATTTTTATATATCAAGATCAATGTTGGGGGGAAATGTATGAGAAAGCGGAAAATGTTTCCTTTAGGACTTGTCATGTCGGTGCGACTGCACATGCGCACGAACGAGATATGCTGGGAATTTTTTTTTTTTTTTTTTCTTAATTTAAACGATTTCATTTAGATTCTTTTTCTTTCCATCGCTTTTGTTAACAGTCTGAGATAATCGAACGTCTGCCAGGAATGACGAAATGCCGTAAGAGCCCGGGCGTAAATAAATTATAGATGACCTTGTAAACAAGGCACTCTCTAAACATTTGCTCCGTAAAGAATTGTTCCTCTTCTTTGATCAGAGTAGCATTTTATGTCAAAAGTGTGGTCAACCTCCTTTCTGGCACCCCCGGTTCGTGCATATGTGTAGTCAAACTAACACAAATTATTTAGTCCGGTGATGTCGTTAAGTACTAAACTAGTTAAAAGAAAACTTTTTCCACTTTGTCATACATTTTCCCCAAACATATATATATATAACCCCTCCTTCCTCAATATTAAGTATTATAATAAAAAGAAATATAAAAATAAATTTTAAAACTGTACCTTTCCTCTCTAAACTCGACCATGTCTCTCATGCCATACCTCACCACCCTCTATGTCAAATTATATAAATTTAATACTGCCCGTCAAAAGTGTATATTTTAAATTCATTATTCGTTTCAACTTTTGAAAGTGATGTCTGAAGATCCAGAAAAAAATTCTCTGGTGAAATAAATTATTACAATAGAGCCTTAAAGTGGTTTAATTTTTTTTTTTTTTAATATATATATATATATATATATATATTGCAAGCATAAACCACGATTTTGTCAGTGAATATGAGATATAATTTCTTTCCGGTACAAGTTCTACTGTTTAACCCATAGCTAAAGCAAACAAGGGTACAACCATACTATTCCTATTTATGCTAAACCAAGTATAACTACATTGACCGATTTCGAACTCAGACCACAGATTTATCATCCATTGATTCTAACCATTACAACCTGTACATCACCCGGTTTAGATACAAAGCAGAAAATGTTTGCACCGTGTACACACACACACACACACACACACACACACACACACACACACACACACACACACACACACACACACACACACACACACACACACACACATATATATATATATATATATATATATATATATATATATATATATATATATATATATTTGTCGGAAAGCAACTTGATCTAAGTTTGTTTCTTTTTTTTAATTTCAGAATTTATATAACTGTTTACGAAGGAAAGTTGGCATTATTCTAAGAAATACGAATAGAAAGAAAAATAAATCAATAGATAGATAGATAGATAGGTAGGTAGGTAGGTAGGTAGGTAGATATTAGGTTGGTGCAAAAATAATGACGTAATAATGTCATTTTTTGACGTTAAAAAATACATCAAAAAACGACATTATTACGTCATTATTTTAGCACCAACCTAATATCTATCTACCTACCTATCTATACCAACCTAATAGATAGATAGAGAGAGAGAGAGAGAGAGAGAGAGAGAATGTTTGTAGTAAATATATATATATAGATATTTACATGAGGATAAAATACATATATATATTTATGCATATATGTATACATGCATATATATATATATATATATATATATATACACACACACACACACACACACACACATATATATATATATATATATATATATATATATATATATATATATATATATATATATATAAAACATAGAGGATAGTCTATTTCAAGCCCTGAAATAGGCTTGAAATAGACTATTCTTTATGTTGAATTATTATTATTTTTTGCTGTAAAAATACACACGCTTTGTTAAAATAAAAACATTGAGCTCTCTGTGGATCAGTTTTAATAATTACTAGCAGCATGGCCCGGCGTTGCCCGTGCTTGATCCAAAAATCGTACGATTCATACAGCAATCGCTATCACTTGACTTAAAAATATTTTTGTCCTTCCTTCCCTTTAAAGGAGTGCCCTTTGCCGTGCTGATGTTGCTACATACCTTACTTCTTGACTATCTCACACTGCGAAGATTTTCTAAGCTCTATACTAAACATTAAATCTGTTACGAAAAAAGAACTAAACAAAATAAACACAAAACGATCAGCTTTAAAAAAATGACTCGTAACTGGAAAAAAACGAATGAAAAAAAGAATGTTAACAACAAATACTTTTTCACACCCAACCCAGTTCTGCGGGATCAGAATCAACGTTGAGTTTAAACAAGCAAATGAGCCAATTGGAGTAAAGTGCCATGCAGATTTAAATTTTTACCACTTGTGACGAATGCAGCTATCGAGATTTTTGCATGCTAGCATGCTAGTTAACATTCGTATCAGTCAGCTGTTGGCTCTCACCCTGGCCAATAGACTCTTCCTGCCTATTTGTGGCAGCCAGCTCTTGGCTCTCTGGCCAGTAGAAAATGGCCGCAAACTACATGAAAACTGCCATAGAAATATGAAAAAATCGATTATTTCTACAATCGATGGGAGTTGGGAAATGCAAAGTCGGTCTTGGCCTTTCAACTAACTTGGAGCATGTGCATGTAAATTTACCTGTACTCTCTATATATTTATATATATATATCAAAGATTGTATAAACATATATATATATATATATATATATATATATATATATATATATATATATATATATATATATATATATATAGAGATAGATAGATTGACAGATAGATAGGTTTCAGCGAAAAAAGAGTCAGGAAGACATCATAAGAAGTTTCAGTAAAATTACATTCAGAAATCTTCCTAATTAGTATATTTTTTTTTCTTTTTATCATCTCAGCATCTATGACGGCCGCGTCAGGTTGCAACCCAAGTTTGGAGCGAACATCTTTGTTTGAATCCTCCTGATTAGAATTCGAAACAGAATAATGGTGGGAAGAAACCGCTGCCTTTTCTTTTAAAAACAATTTTTTACACTTCTTTTTAATTTTAATTGCTTGCCATTCATTTTCACTTGTATTCGTTAAATTGTTGATTACATTTTACGTGAGGGTATGTCTGAATTTTCTAATTATTTCCTTTCTTTAACTCTAATTGATTATCCGTCCCCGATTAGAAGGCACTTTTGACTTTTAATATGCGAAATCATATTTCTAAATACAAGATGATGAGTTGTAAATGGTGCCTGGCGCTTGTACAAATAATTATCAATCATGGCACACCATAATGTAATCAAATCGAAGTTGTCTTCATCTTGTTGCGAAATCAATAAATAATTCTCTGTAGGTATCGTTTTAAAAGAGTAGCGGGAATGGGCGAAAACTAATCAGTGTCGCATCTGTTAACTGAAATTATTTGGGAAAGGTCGAGACAAACAAAAAGATGGGTTTAGCTGGGAAATTTGACAGTAAAAAGAATTAAGATAAAATGTGAGAAAATGGCGGCAGATGTTTCACACACGGATAATCATGCGCATGCGCGTACACATCTACTTAGAAAGGGAGATAATCAGTGTGTCACGTTGGTAAAAGAGACAATTAACAAAATAGACGCTAATGTGTCTTTCCTGACACTTCTTTTAAACAGCGCTAATAACATTTGCCGATATTTGTTTTATCTGTTAATGTATCTGAAAAAGGCGATAGAACTGGTCAGGAAAAAAAGGAAAAAGAATAACTTCTTCTTAGAAAATGTTCTTCTCGTTTTTATTTGGTTATTTTTTTTTTTCTCCAGGATCATCGTTCCTGTAAATATCGACGACTGTCGTTGATTTATTTTTCTTTCTCTTGGTATTTCTCTGAAATAACGCCAACTTTCCTTTTTAAACAGTTAAATAAATTCTGAAATTAAAAAACAAAAAACAAACTTAGAGCAAGTAGCTTTACGAGAAATGTTTATATATATATATATATATATATATATATATATATATATATATATATATATATATATATATATATATATATATATATATACGGTGCAAACTTTTAAATTTAAACTTTTACTGCGTTGTATGTAAACCGGGTGATGTACAGGTGCCGTAATGGTTAGAATCAATGGATGATAAATCGGTGAGCTGAGTTCGAAATCGTTCAAGATATATATAT